CCTCAAGGAGATCGGGCTTTGGGGCAACGTGAGCAACCTCAAGGAGATCGGGCCTTGGGGCAGCATGAGCAGCTACAAGGGGGTCAAGCCTTTGTACCTGCAGGGCAGCTTCGTGGAGTTCAAGATGTCCCTGGAGACGGACCTGCAGGGTCGCAAGAAGGCCGACCTCGGGGAGTTCAGTTTCAGACTACAGATGGCCAAGGAGATAGTCAGGCTCGGGCGCACCCGTTCGGGGGGCTGCTTCAGGGTGATTCAATAAGGATGTCCTCTTCGGTGGTACCCCCTTTCGTGCCATCACCAGCGGCGCCTACTCGTGGAGATTACGGGCCCAGAGGACCTAGGACCCGAAGCAACAGCCGTGAGCGCCGAGGACAAGACTCTTCGAGGCCCACGCAGCCTATCCCGCCTCCTCCGGCTTCAGCTCCAACGGCAACGAACCCCTTGGAGGCCTTGGTGGCAGGCATGGCGCAAATACAACAAGTTCTTCTGAAGGGCAAAGGGGGCAACGAAGGCTCCGAATATGACCCTTCAAAAGCGGTGGCGGAGTTCCCAAAGCTGCAAGAGAACAGCACGGAGAGCGGGGCAATCGACTTTCAGGACTGGCTGTATTTGGTGGAGCAACAGGTGGGCAGCTTGGCGGCCGGGGCTTCTACATGGTGGGCTATGGCAAGTACCAATCGTCCACGCCGATACAGCGGTTGTCGGTCACCTCGGAGCTGGCAGCAGAATGGGAAGATGCAAAGTATAGTAAGCTGGAGAAGAGAGTTTCAGCTCTCTTGGTGGGAGCTCTTCCGCAGCAGATGAAGGAAGAGATGGTTGCGTATAGGGTGCGGCGAGTGCACCAGCAGCTGTTTCGTTTGCTGGTCAACTACCAGCCAGGTGGAAGCACGGATCGTGCATTGGTGTTGGCCCAGCTGGAGCCAAAGGACTGCCCTGCAGATGCAGCTGAAGTCGTTGCTGCATTGAGGCGATGGTTCAGGTGGCTTCAACGGGCCCAAGACTTACAGCTTTCCCTGCCGGACCCGTCAGTGCAGATTCGGTCTTTGTCAGCTATTACGAAGAAGCTGGCAGACAAGAACTCGGACCTCCAGTTCAAGATTGCCTTGGCCAAGACGGAGCTTCGTGTTGAGAGCAGGCCAACGCAAGACACTGCTTTGAGATTCTTCCAGCACCTTCTGGCTGAAGCAGAGCAGCTTGGCCCGGCAAAGACGCAAAGGAATACGGCGACGGCCAATGCTACGACCTCCTCTACTACCACCGTGGATCCAAAGACAAAGGGGGCACAAGTGACGCCAAAGAGCCAGCCTACGTCTCCCAAAGAGGGCAAAGGGGAAGGAAAAGGCCAGGTGTGCAAGTGGTTTCTGACGGACCAAGGGTGCGGGCGCGGCCGAGGATGTCGGTACCTACATGATTGGACGCAGGTCGTGAAGGCAGAGCGATGTCTGGTTTGTGGGTCAAAGCTGCACAAGGTTCGTGATTGCCCGCGAAAGGATACCGAGCCAGCAGGAGATGGTTCTACAGTGAAGGGCTTGAATAAGAAGGAGCTCAAGGTTGCCCTTGCATCGCCGCAAGCGCCGCCTAGCACAGTGCAGGCGCAAGCCCAACCTACTCTACAACAAGCGTCAGTGAACGTGGATGCAATGACAGCTGCGGCTAAGGCGGCAGCCGACCCTCCTCTACCTCCTCCTTCTGGAGATGCTCTTCGAGAAGCCCTGGCAGAGACGAACAGGGTGCTCAAGGCCCTGACTACGCCAGCAGAAGCAACATCTACTCCAGCGGGATCCACAAGCGGTGCTTTACAAGATCCTCTTCGTCTACTGCAAGCTCAGCTGGGAACTTTGCGAAGGCTACAACGAGCATCAGTGAACTCCGAGGGTGAACGAGTCGCGCTTTTAGACTCAGGAGCTAGTCACGCCTACAGGTCGGCCTATGATGAGGAGGAGCGCAACAAAGCTGTGCCGGTGAATGTGAAATTGGCGCAGGGGGAGGCTACCATCCTACAGAACCAGGCCGGCACCTTGATTGGAGAGGACAAGGCAGAAACTTTGGTTCCTTTGGGTCAGCTGGTGGAGGTTCTCAATTGCAAGGTCCACTGGACAAAAGGGCGATTGACAGTGCTTCATCCTGTTCATGGCCGGCTTCGTGTTAAGGTTCGGGACTTCTGTCCAGAGTTGGCGGAACACGAGGCACTCCGATTGATTGCCGAGTTGGAACAGAAGCGGCTAGAAGAGATGGGTGAGACAGTTCGAGCTTTGGAGATGAAGGTTGCCGAGTGCGAGTACCAGATGGAATGGTTTGACCATGTGAAGAACTATGTGGCCTCCGGCGAGCGCGTCGACCTCCTTGCGTCGATTGCGAGCGCTCCGTTCTTCAAGGACCTCCCAATGGACTTCAAGGCTATGGCCGCAGAGGGAGTACCTACAGGGGACAAGGGTGGCTGGTTGCTTCTCAAGGCTATGCCGTGGTCGAGGAGAAGAAGAAGAACGCTGTACCAAAGCCACGATTGGAACTTGCACCTGTTTTCTGGACCGTCTGGAAAAAAGAATGGCAGCTCTACGGCAAATAAGTTGTCTCAGATCGAAGCTACGGGACCCAAGGTGGATGTGGACCTTCTTGACTCCAACCTCATGGACCTGGGAAGAGCCAACGGCGTTTACAAGCTGTTGCTATGGGCGGCAGCTCAAGGACGCCTACGTACCATCATAGGTGGTCCACCTCGGCGATCCTATTTCTCTGTGGATCCGGAGCGCCGTGTCAAGGAGGATGGACTCAAGGCGAGGATGCTTATCCTTGGGATGGTGGCTATGGAGGGACGAAAGCAGTTGCGAAATGAGCGTGTTGGGTTTTCAATGGAGCACCCCAATGTGGATGATGAGACGGGCTTTTGGACGAGCCCTATGTGGCGGAACTATGCGCGTGCTCATGATATGCAGCTCTGGACAACGGGAAGGGGTGCAACAGGAACCAACATGAATATGCGGTCCATGGAGCCTTTGACCTCATCTACTACCTCCGGAGGAGCGTGGACAGACGACTACATTAAATGCGTTGAGAGCGCAGTCATGTCGTGGAATGGCTTTGCGGAGGGGGACTCGGTGCTATGCTACATGATACCCGGCGAGAACTTTGTGAGAATTGGAAAGATGACTGCTAAAGAATGGCAACTTCATGTACAACGAGATCATCTTCCTTTTCGCCGGGATTGTCGCCACTGCGTACAAGCAGCATCAGGGCGTCCTCACCGGCGGATTACACACAGATCGGCCTATGTGTTGTCGGCAGATGTTGCCGGTCCTTTCAGGTCGAAGGGGAAGGCTACAGACACAAATCAGCACAGGTTCATGCTGGTATGCGCCTACCAGTTTCCAAAGCTGCCGGGGACCTCTGAAGTTCAGAAGGAGTCAGTGGAGGAAGACAGAGGAGCTGGGATTGGGGAGATGTTCTGTGAGGAGGACGAAGTCTTTCACGACCATGCGGGCGTGGCCGAAGAGCTGGATCAGGACGACGTGGAGTTTTTGGTTGCAGAAGCTATTGCGGAAGCAGAAGGCGAACCCAGTCTTGATGGACGCAATGCAGCCGAGAGCCGCGACAAGGACCCAGCCGAGAGCCGCAACAAGGACACAGCCGAGAGCCGCGTCAAGGACTTAGACCCAGAGCGCGAGGCAGTGGAAGCAAGCGAACCCTTCGAGTACTCAATGGCCTACTTCATCCGTCCTCTACGTTCTCGTAAGTCAGGAGAAGCCCTACGAGCTTTACAGGAAATCTACATAGATCTGAAGATGTTGGGGTTGCCTGTCAATAGACTACATGCAGACCGAGCCAGAGAGTTCAGGACACCTGCAGTGGGAGAATGGGCGGCTTCACGAGATATTCAGGTGACGCGAACAGAAGGCGATGCCCCTGCACAAAATGGTGCGGCCGAGCAAGCAGTGAAGTACATCAAGTCCAGGACTCGAATACTGCTTTCGTCAGCTCAAGAGCTCAGTGGCTACAAGGCGAAGGATGTCAAGACTTGGTGGCCCCTGGCGGCTGAGACCGCCGCGGCTAGACAAAGGGCAATGGCGTTTGGTCAGGAGGTGAACTCCCCCACGGGCTTCGGAAACAAGGTCTTCGCGAAGAGAAAATGCTACGGGGCGGTTGCAAGAGATCTGGATCCCAAGTGGGGCCCGGCCATCTACCTGGGGCCGGCAAGAGATGTACCTGGTGGCCACATCGTGCTAACGGAGGATGGTCATCTTTGGAACACGTGTAATGTTCGTCAGTTGGCTGATGTACCGATGGAGCCAGACCCTTCTACGATGGTGACGCGGAAGAGAATCTTGGGGAAGAGACCACCAATCGCACCTATCCCGTTGAATACGCTGAAGGTGTCTACGTTAAGCAAACCTGCGGGGACCGAGCCAAGCACAGCGATAACCGAGTCCTACGTGATCCCTGAGCTAAAGTCCACGGCTAAGATTGAGTACCTCCCAGACAAAGACAAGATGAAGACGCTGGCCCAGGTTTCTGGTGAGAAGGAATGGTTTTCTATAGAGGACTGCCTCGCCATTTTGGAGGATATTCCCTTCAGGAAGCCAAATAGGACCCGAGCGCAGGAGACTTGGGGTGAAGCGGATCCGGAGGTCTATGTTGTCTTTGGGGCCTATCAGCATGGAGGTTTCTCGGGCATCACCAGAGCGACCCAAAGGTATGACGACTTGGTGAAGTACCTGGTGAAGTTCCTCAAAAGGCACTCCGGAGCAGAAGACCCTTTCACGAGCGTTGCGGTGGCCAGGAACTTGGGTTCTGGAATACATAAAGACCGATACAATATTCACGGGAAAAGGAATGTGGTCATCTCGATGGGCAGCTTTGAGAACGGTGGCCTTTGGATTCAGGGGGAACATGACGGGCTACCCCTTCAAGCGCAGAGGCTCCCCGATGGCTCGGAGGTGATGGGCTCAGTGGTTTCTACCAAGAACTGCGTGACCAAATTCGACCCGAGGAGGTGGCATAAGTCGATGCCGTGGAAGGGAACAAAGTGGTCGGTCATTGGCTACTGCAATCGAGGCTTCAACAGGCTTCGAGAAGATGATGTTCAAGAACTGTTGAGCTACGGGTTTCCTCTTCCACCACGAGATCTTCCTACTTTAACACAGCTGAGGTCTCAACCAGAGGCCGACGAGTTCGACTATTGCGAGACGTCAGATGAGGAGGAGATTGTGACTATGGCTAAAATGGTGAATGAGGATGAGCTTGTGTTGCTACAGAACGCCTTGGACGAGGAGGAGAAGTTGGAAGCTAAACTAGCGAGCTCAAGCAGCAAGGAGGAGCTTCAGCCTGTTGTCGAAGCTAATGTCAACATCATGATGAAGTGTGCTCGTTTGGAAGCGGTGGCCTTGGAGGAGTTTCAAAAGGATGAGGTGAACGACAGCATGGAGTGGTTTCGCCTATGCCGTATGGTTGAAGGAGATGAACAACACGGTGTGGAGGAAGTACTCAGGAACCTACAGTCCCCTCTACAAGTGGTGTATACGATGTCGCTTACGGAGGTGCGGGAAAACGTGGAAGCTTGGAAGCAGGCTATTCAGAAAGAAGTGGACGCGCTGATTTCCTGTGGTGCTCTGGTGCGTATGGATTCAGCCGAAGAAGATCGACTTCGTCGGGAGAACCGTCTGGTGGTGCTCCCAGCAAAGGGAGTATTTACAGTTAAACCTCCGGACTTTGTGGAGAAACCCGAGGGCGGCGAGACCATAGACTCTGTGAGCCAGGAGGAGACTACTCAAAAGGAAGCGGCCATAAAGTCAACAGACCAGGTTGCGTTCACCAAGGGAGTCCCCACCGTAAAGTCCACAGACCAGGTCGCGTTCACCGAGGGAGTCCCCGTAAAGTCCACAGACCAGGTCGCGTTCACCGAGGGAGTCCACGTAAAGTCCGCAGACCAGGTTGCGTTCACCGAGGGAGTCCACAATAGGTCAGACGAGCAGGAAGCATGTGCGGGGTCTACGTCAAGTCACAGAGATGATCGACTTAGGGCAAAGGTCGCTCCTACCCAGAGGTGGTTTAAGCGTAAAGCCAGGCTGGTCATATGTGGCAACTACGAAAAGCACATAGCCGAAGACCTATATGCTGGAGGATGTCAGACGGAGACGCTCAGGGTGATGATATCACATGCATCTGGAGAGCCTACGTGGGACGCAGCAGTTACTGATATACGCAACGCTTTTCTGCTAGCGCCTATGTCCACGGATGCTGTATATGGACTCCGTTTTCCTAAGGTCTTCCTCCTTGCGCTGGGGCCAGAGTGGGATTGGCTTTACCGCGTAGACAGAGCTCTCTACGGATTCAGAAGATCTCCTCGGCTTTGGGGGCTTTTTCGAGATGCCAGGTTTCGCAATGCAAAGTTGAAGGTCGGGGAAGATATAGCAATCCTCAAAAGGCTCACGGCGGACGAGAATGTGTGGAGGGTTGTAAAGGTTCCCCGGACGCCACAGGAGCAGGAGGAGACGATCGCCTACATCATCGTCTATGTCGACGACATTATGTATTTGGGGCAGCCGTCGGTCATTTCGACAGTGCATGAGTGGCTAAGCTCAGATTGGACGGCGAGTTCCTTGACGTGGGCATCCTCATCAGATGGGATCAGGTTTCTGGGGCTGGAGGTATATAAGCGAAAAAACGGCTACTTTATGTGCCAGCTTGGCTACCTGACAGAGCTGCTCAGGCATCATGAGCTTAGCAGTGGGCCCGGTGCCAGAACACCGTGCCCTAGAGAGTGGTTGCTAGGCGAGGTGACTACGGAGCAGACAACCTATGAGGAGCCGTCTTTGAGACGGGCACAAAGGCTCACGGGGGAGCTGTTGTGGCTCTCGACGAAGTCACGCCCAGACATCATGCATGCTGTGGCGTCGATGAGCTCCCTCTGTTTGAGAGACCCAATATTGGTCGAACGCATCGGCCTTAGGGCGTTATCATACCTGTACTCGACGCTGACAGTAGGCTTGATGTTTTCATGCGTCAAGGGAAGCGAGATCAAGCTTACAGCATTTTCAGACGCGTCGTTTTCTCCAGCAGGCGGACGATCTGTGGGATCGTCCCTGGTCACATACCGGGGCAATCCAGTGGCATGGAAGGCTGGAAGGCAGAGTTTGATTTCTCTTAGCACTGCAGAGTGCGAGTTGATAGAGGCTGTATCGGCCTCGCAGCTACAGTTGGGCATAAGCATGCTGGTGGAGGAGCTGAATGATGGGCCGCCCCAGCTGCTACTGCTTGTCGACAACTCAGCTACGGTGAGCTTGTGTAACGACGCGCCAGGAACATGGCGCACCCGCCACTTGCGCGTGAGAGCTGCCAATCTACGAGAAGCGGTTCGCGAGGGTCGAATTGAGATTCGACACATCGCAGGGATATACCAGAAAGCCGATTTAGGAACAAAGTGCTTTGAACCAGCACGACTTCAAGAGCTTATGGAGCTTTGGGGGCTGGTGCACTTTGACGAGTCGGACAAGGAGAGAACTGATAACAGTCTGGCGTCTCTAAGTATTCCTACAGATGTTGCGGAGGCCGTTTTGGCAGGCTTGAAAAAATGCTGGACGTGCGCATTGACCAAGTTGGCCACGCTGCTAATCTTCTTGGCGAACCCGGCGGAAGCCAGGGGCACCCAGGAGAGTATCCAGGTGTCCTTCCCTTGGGAGCTATACACTACATTGGCAGTATTCGTGGTGGCGGGCATCGCAGTGTGGGAGCTTTTGAAGAGACTCTGGCAGCGACTCAATCCTGAGGAAGTTGAGTCACGCGAGGCACGGAGATTGAGAAAGCTCCAGGCGGCGGTCAGAGACGAGCTACAAGGTATGGGACTGCAAGGCACCCCTACCAACGATCGAGTTCGTGACCGAGATGCGATGAGGTTCTCGCCAGGGCAAGAACATACCTACAGGAGGAGCACCACAAGCGCAGCCTCATCTTGGGAAGCTGCACCTGCCCCTCCGCCTCCGGCACCGTTCCCTACAGGCACCGGGGACGAACCAGTTTTTCGAAGACGACGAGGAGGAACCCGCGACCAAGGGGTTCAGACCGAGCCTAGGCGAATCCTGGGAGAGGTTACGCTGTCATATGGACAGACTATTTACACAACCAAAGGCGGGAAGTGCATTCATTCGAGGAATACGTGTTCCTCGCTGACTGTTGGTGGTCGGGTTGATGAGAAGCATCTATGTCAGCTATGCAACCGCGGCTAAGCAGTTGGACTACAGCTTGACTTTATCGAGCTGCTATGATGGTGTGCATGCGTGGTTTTTCTGAAATGGCAGGCTGCTGAGAAAAGGCAGGGCTACTCGGCTTGGAACCGAGTGGTCGTTCTTACTTGGCAAGAGCTGCGGATTTGGTGCCAAATTAAATCCAATTCCTATGGGGCCGGACAGGGATGTAAAGGCCCCTGTCGTTCTCGGTCCTAAGGGGAGGAGGAGTGCTGGTGATTATACATCACTCACGAGAGCCCTGTCCGTTTCAAGGGATAGGGTTAGTCGATCCAAAAGAGAGAGGGGTGTTCCTCTCATTCAAGCTTAGATTGGCGTGTGCACAGAAGCCGCCGACCGGATGCTTGATGGCTCAAGATGAAAAAGGCACCTTCTGAAGTGAGGACCTCGGGGTCCGTTGGTAGGAAGGTAGGGGGTAGGAGGTGGTTCCAGGTGAGAAGGTTTGACTTCAAGCTTAGGCCCTCCACCCCGCGCTTTGACCTCAGGCTCAGGCCCTGCTAGGACCCTTGTTCAGGGAACTTCGGAGCTTGAGCTGAGTTTCTTGTCCGTGCGAGTGTGAACACTGGGTTCTTATTTTTCGTTTATCTGTCTGAGTTTGTTTATCAAGATTTCGTTTCTAAGAAGACGTCGGTTGCTAACCATGGCCCTCCCTGCGGATTCTGCTGATCCTCCCACGGATCAACA